TCACATCAAAAAGGCGAGCGCTTCGCTGCGCGCCTCTCGCCTCAGTGAAGCGGGCCCTCGTCGGTATTTGTCGTCGCACGCTATCCAAAACACTGTGGCAGTTAAGCTCACTAAACTACTACCTCCACTCCATCAAAAGATATTGTCAGCTGATACTACTATATCTACACTTACTTAAGAGTTCGCGTTTCTCATCACAAAGGGTGTGTTTAAATGAGCATGGAAAATACTAAGGCAAGGAAGAGCGGGAAAAGTCAATAGTAACTCCAACTAAGCTAAGAAAAGAAAAAAGTAGCCAAGGTGGTTTTTCATCAGTTAGTCCTCTGAAATCAATCCACTCCAAGATTAAACAGCTCCCTAGTTCATATTAAGGAAGAGAACTCATACTTACAAGCAAAAACCAAAAAGCGCAGAAAAGCACCAAAGTTTGTTGGGACTTTCAGCGCGAAGAGGAATTAAAGGGCAGGATTTAGCAAAAAAAGCGTTAATGAAGAAAAAATAAAATAACAACTTAATGCAAGATATGTGATTACAAACACAACAAAATTATCTTTTCAAGGATGGTAAGGTTAACACAAACAACAACAATTATTTAGACAAAAGAATAGAAAAAACTATTATTAAACCATATGCATGGATTTCCTTATCAAACTGTATGCATGAACTAGAAATCATCTCATTCAAGTTCAAAAAATTATAAATTTCTGACTTAGATGAAAGATATAGCTTTAAATTTTTAGTGGCCAGCTTTCTTATACTGCATTTATTTCTACATTTATAAATTGTTATTCCTAATCCCTAGAAATTCAGTCATAATATTTTCTTAGCAATTAATGTATTGCTTTATCAACTATTTTTACAATTTAGTGTTGCGCTCTTAGAGACAGATGATGGGTGAAGAGGCGCATGCCTTAGCACCTTGACGCCTACAATAAAACACCAACTAAACGAGGTGCCTGGGGCCGTGGGCTTGATCAAGCTTCAGTGCTTAACCGAGCAAAAAACGGCAAGACTTTACAATTTATGAAATTCAAGACATTTACTAGCATGACAAAGAACTCCATTGCCATCTTTGTCTCTATTGAAACTCTCACCATCCCACCCGGACCCAAGTAAAATCACAAATATTTCACATGCACAGTTCATTGGCACTCTTTCAGAAACTTTCAAGAGAATCTGGCTGGGATAGCTTTAAGTACTTCGGATAACAGGCAACTAGAACTAGAAATGCTGGGTACATCAAATAAAGGAACTAATTTTGACTGAATAAAAGAAGGATGATGGCAACATAATATTGTAAACTTTGAAAACATCAAAGAGAAAAATAATATCCACAGTTAGGGTGTAGTTAAAAGTATAACCCTCTAAAAGGATATAAAGGAATACAAAAAGTACCTCGACATGAGTCTCGTCAATCTTACGTTTCTGGTGGCGTGTCATTTTCAAACTTGTCACCTGAAAACTTCAGTTGTGAGACCTTAAAGCACCAGACAAAGGTACTGGATAGTTTTGTTTTTTTAAAAGCAAAAAACATGAAGGGCAAGGTCATTATAATCACAACAAAGAAAAACAAATGCAGCAAGTATTGTAGGTGGAATTTGAATCTGGCATCTACAGGTTGTACTCCAAAACCTCACCCGCCCAGCCATCCACTTGGGACACAAAAAGAAAACCTTCCAAAAGGGATGAGAAGGAGAAAGTTGTAAATTCTTCTGAAGAAGAAAAAGCCTATCTATGAGACAACAGAGACCATTGGCCACGTTGCATGCAGTAGAGTGATCATAGCTCTCAACCTATTGTCCTCAATCCCCACCCAAAAAGAGAGACATAATCTTAATTTTCTCTCAGATCTACATAAGGGTTTCTCCTTTGTCTTAGCACGAAAAATCCCACCTCCCAATAGGAGAGGTGCAACAAGCCTCATAAGTACCCCAATGGAAAATTACAAGCAGATAAATATAGCAAGTATTACCTTGTCCTCGACCTTCTCATCCACAACAGTCTCTACTGAATTAAGATCAAGCTGTTCAAGTTTAACCCACTCATCAAGTCTCCGATTGACTGTCCAAGATCAGAAAACAATATAAGGCGTAAAAGATGCAATTTTTTTCATCGGTTCAATAAGTATTATTAGAAGATGAAAATTTTATTGCACTAAAGTAAAATAGTAATGAAAGACATACTTTGTAATTAGTAAGATCAACATAATTGAAACTGTGGGCAAATGAAATAATTCATGTTTGCTGATATGGAGAAAAAGGAAGTGCAGGAAAGTTAACAGTTGCACATTTTCTGTGCTTTTGTTAAGCAAGAAAATTGTGGAAAGAGACTCCAAATTAAGTGCTGGAGGAAGGGTGGAATTATGAAGGAATGTGGTTTCTTGAAACTTTAAAACTTTCCTTTCCTTTCCTTTCAAATGAATACATAATACAAAACGAATTTCATTTTCTTTTGTTTTATCACAATTTTCCCAAGAAAAACATGTTCTAGCAACTTTGTTGACATCCGAATGAAGCCTAAAGGCTCAACCGACAATGAATCACAAATTTCCACCAAAACCCATTACTAATCACTGAAATAATTTTGGTAAGACAAATAGATTAAATTCATTGCCTCGGCTGCTCAAAATTAATACAAAATTAAGAGGAAAAACGAGTAGCTTGAGAATTACTTACATTATGAGTTGCAAAGAGTTCTTTCGGTTCAACCAACTATGTAGTAATAATGTCTATTATAAACCCGTAAATTGTGGTAATAATTTAGGACAGACAACTGAGAATACTCCATCCTAAATGAAGGAGCGGGTCAAAGCATTTAATTTTCAAGTCAATTTTGTAAAGTGAATCTTCCAGTACGAGGGTCAAATCATTTATTTTCACGTCAATTTTGTAAACAGAATTCTCCATCTTTCAATTTACATAATATGAAATCGTACTATCAACCACATTTCTTAAAGTTTTAAGAAATACTTAGAAAATAGTTGAACAATTCACCGTCGAAGGAACTACAGTTAGCCATAAATGGCAATTAAGAAAACTAGGAAAAAGATATCCAAACCCTAGCTGCTCCAAATCATCGCAAATAGAATTAGAAGGAAAACATAAGATTGGCTTTAAAACATTAACTCACATTCGGTGTTTTGTTACCACCTGTACATTGTATTCAAATAACTTGAGGAAAAAAAAAACTCCAAACCCTAGCTGCTCCAAATTGATGCAAATAAAGTAAGAAGAAAACCATTAATTTGAAAATGTTCACTCACATTCAGTGTAATGAACATAGTATTCGTAGTCATTAGCACCGCCACAGGGCAATTTACGGCGTTCAATGACCTTAACGGGATGATACTTGCCGTCTCTCCAGCGGCACATGACACGTGTCCCCACGCGGCAGGACACCACTTCCTTTCCTCTTCCTAAACGGCTCGTTTTCTGCCGTAGCTCCGGTGGATTCCACCGCCGGCGGATGGACGGAACCGTTCCCGGCGGGGTGCCCATTGGCGGCGCTGTTTGGGGTTGGGATTGGGTCTGAACCGCTCTCTGCCCTCGTTGACGTGTCTATCGATCCCATTTCCGTTTTTCCCTCCGTTGAAGTTTTTTTTCTTTTTCACACAAAATAGTGCTGTTTATATGTGGTCCGTCTACTATGCACGTGAGCTGGGGTGCTACAATTGTCTCTGGTCCTTTTTTTCTTTCTTTCCTCGTTTTGTTTTCCTTTGCTCACTTTTTTGTTCTTTTCTTGGGGGATTTGCCTATGTACTTCGTTTTGGATCACTATTATATAAAAATTTATAAGATTATTGATTCTAGGATCAATTTTAGATTTAGTGAGTCTGAAGTTAAAAAAATTCGCATTTAAAGTTGCAAACTTAAGATGCATTTAAACTGTTTTAGTCTAAAGTGTGGCTAATTTTGACATGCACTTAAAAAAAATTTAATCTGAAGTGTAAAAAATTACACTTAAGATGCACTTAAGAATTAACTGGTCCGACAAAAAAAAAAAGAATTAACTGGTCTGAAGTGCAGCTAATTTTTGCATGTACTTAAGACTTTTTAGTCTGAAATGCATATTGCCCAAAAACAGATACTTGTTCTTCGAAATTCAATAATCTATATGATTCGATACTCAAATCTATTCTAAGTGAGTTCAAATTTAAAATAAACCTTTTAAATATCATAAAGAATAAACTCTAATCATCAATTCATCAAAACAACGATAAATCTAACAAACTCATTTTGCAATTAAGAGAAGAACGTCACAACAACAATAGCAAAGAGAGGAGTGTCACAACAGCCTACTACTATAAAATATCATAAACTACCTTAAAACCTGCTCACTAGTACCATGTAAATCCATTGTCACCTTTGTTTTCATGGTACTTAAGAAGAAGAAAATTAAAAGGAGGAGAAAAAGGTCAGAAGTTGTCTATACTTTGGGTACTAGTTAAACTCTTTTTTAAAAGTTAATACATTTTCAAATGGGAGCGCCCTATTTGAAAATTTTACTCTTTTATTTCCTCTGCCAAATACATCATGAGACCCTCAAACTAAATAGGACATTTTATTTTGACGATTTATTTTTGTGTGATATGTATTGAACATCTTATCTTACTAATATTGCATATTAAACACATTTAACAGCTTCAAACTAGCTTAGTTGCTTGAATGTTACTCTCTTCTAGTGTAGAATGCAAAAATTAGTAAAAATATAAAAAAGACACGTATGAAATAAAAAGGTCAATGCAAACGATCAATTTTGACTCTTCCTTTTTAAAATTAAATTTTCTATGCTTCCTAGTTAGTAATCATTTAGTAAAATATATTCAAATATTTTGTTAATTGTCTAAAAGAGTTATTACATTATTTCCAACATTATTATATATTATTCAAGAAATAATAACTATTAGTCTTAATAATTTATTATTTATTATTATGTTAATAAAATTAATTTTAGCATAATATAATATTATTATTTTTCATTAATAAATTATCCATTTTATTATATTACATAAGTATGTATTTTAGTTATTAATTTGAAATTTCTTTAATGATTTATTTTTCTATTTCTATCTATGCAACTGCATGTACTTATATTAATTTTTACCTACAAAATATATAATATATTTTATTATAAATTATTTAAATTGTGGAAGAATAGTTAATTTAATTTAAAGCAAAATGGATTTTACAGGTAAAATTGGCTATTATTGCAAAGTTCAAATGTAAATTTAAATGGCTATTTTTAAAATTAATTCCTAACATTTTCAGCTCAAATTTTGGCCAAAATTTCAAGCCCAATAGAGCCCATACCCGATCCGAGTCAGATTGTTCACTAACACCCCAGTCCCATTTATCAATCCAAGCAACTTCCTTTCCACTGATTAGAGCTTGTCACGTCACCAATCCTTATCAAAAATGTCACAACCCACATCCCATTATAAGGGTCATGATGGAACCTAGTTTCTAAAATTAGGTAAGCCGATCACTTATCAATTTTTTTTGAAACAATAAAGACATGATATACTGAAAAGAGTTAAACATAAATGCGGAAATAAAGGTGATACAAGTCAATACGGCAATAATAACAATATATCCCAAAACTAGGTAGTACAAAGTCACGAACTCTAACTGAGTACGTAGAATATCTCAAAATATAATACTGTACGGATAGAGAATTGACAGTATAAATGTAAGGAAAGGACTCCAAGGTATTGCGACGATCAAAACAGCTCTACCTTGAATCCTCGCGATCAAAGAAACTCTCACAACCTGGGTCCGCTATCTCCAATACCTGGATTTGCACAAAAATATGCAGAAGTATAGTATGAGTATACCGTGATCGGTACCCAGTAAGTATAAAGACTAACCTCGGCAGAGTAGTGACGAGGTTCAATTCAAGACACTCACTAGTCAAATAACCTGTGCAAAAATATCAAGACTGACAACTGGAAGAATAACATAAGGCAATACTTGTAATATCTTCGGAACAACTAATAATAATCTAATACAAGTAAAGGCTTTGTTTTGACAACAATTCATCAAATAGAATCGCAAACATAAGGCACCTCATGCCCACATTATCAATTACCATTCGCACGACAAATACCTCGTGCCACAGCATAAGTCACATCCCTCACAACAAAGACCTTGTACCACAATATAAGTCATGCCTGCACGGCAAAGACCTTGTGATACATAATAACCCGATTCCATATCATTTGCCAATTAACACGTTCAAGAGAACTTTTCAAGAATCAACATAGTAATGCATAATAACAACTTTCTTTTTACTTCAATTTGTTATGCTATCAACAACTCGATAGAATATAAGATGACACCACCACGCAGGTAAGTCCAGCTTGACAACCAAATCATCAAGTAATAATAGAGACATGATTTAACATGATAGGAACAATGCAACAAAATATGGTATGATGCATGACACACACAAAGAAGTCATAATCACAAACAAGAATACCCCATTTTCACTACCACAAAAATATCATCAACAAAACGCCCCCAGACCATCACATATCATCCCTAAAAATATCACCCTTATCTCACCACATGTGCAGCACTAAAATAAATGCTCGCCTTATTTCGCCACACGCGTATTAACAAATCATCTCACCTTGTCTCGCCACATGTGCAAACCCAAAATATATAGCCCGCCTTCTCTCGCCACATGTGCAATATCAATAATAACAATAGCACGACATAAAATATCGTACTAATACATGAACAATCCGCCCAACAAGTCCACATGTGACACAATCATAACAACACAACATGCCTACAATTGTCAACAAAACATAAATTTATAATCTACCAACGTAAGTGCACAAGGACAACTCAATAGGAAAGCGCGGATGTGTGTTCAACATATAAGCATGAAAGCTAACTCAAATTAGCAACAATCTGACAAACGCCCAACTTGCCCAATTAACGAATTAAAATCCTAAAACATGATCTCTATCATGGAACATAAACTCAAGTAAACAACCAAAGTGGAAACACGTAAAGCAGAGACCTCTCAATCAAAACAAAGTGATAAAAGCAACTTGTCACGACCCCAAATTCTCATCATATGATGTCGTGATGGCATATAGTCTCTAAGACTGGGTAAGCCTAACACATGCTGAGTTAATAATAGAGTCGAACTATTTAATCATTAAATCATAAACCAGTAAATGATATACATAACCGCAATGGCCAATAGTTATACATTTCCCAAAACCGGTAGTACGGAGTCATAAGCTCTACTGAAATACACTAGAATTTCTAAATACTATATTGTTTTGATTACAATCTAACAATAGCATAAGGAAGTAAGATGGTAACGCATGTGAGCGTCAAGATGGTATACCTTGAAGTCTCTGATGCGCAGATGCAACTTTCAACATCACGAAATACCTGGATCTGCACAAAAATATACAGAAGCGTAGAATGAGTGTATCACAAATGGTACTCGGTAAGTATCAAGCCTAACCTCGGTAGAGTAGTAACGAGACCGGGTCTAGACACCCACTAGACATAGAAACATGTACAAGATATGCATGAAGCTAACAATGAAAAGAACATCAATGTAAGGCTAACGACGGAAAGATTATTAATTTACAACCAACAACGAAATAATAGAAACGCAAATGGCAACAAGTAGTAAACGGGTAATAGAGAAGCAACATAACCAGAACACCGATGAGATATGAATGAACTCAAATAAGGAGAAACCAATGACAACTCAAATAATCAAATCGTTCCCAGCGCATGGGCCTAAACAAGAATTACCCCGAGACGCCACATGTCGTAAATCACAAATCATGGACCATAATTTCCAAATCTTACATGTATGCCACCTCGTGCCCACAATAATAATTACCTCCACGCGGCAAGGCCCACGTGCTACCATGTACATTGCAACTGCAATAAATAAAATGACTGAGAGTTATATTTAAACACCATAAAGCATAATAACAATCTTGAATAAAGTAAGGTGTCAAATGAAATAATGAGTTTATTTTAGAAATCAATTAAAGTAAAATAAAATAAAATATATACAAAATAGAGTATCATATGGGTTTAGTTTAGAAATCAATAAAATCGAGTAAAATATCATATTTAAACAAAGCAAAATATCAGTTAAATTAATGAATTAAATATATATTCAATTAAAAGAGAAACGTAATAACAATTTTAAGTAAGGTGACCAATCAACAGGGTGTTGAGTATAATTTGAGAACCGGATTATAGTAAAAGGGCAATAACCATTTAAAATGATAAGGCAGAGTGAGATAACGATTTCTATCTTAAGAAGCTCATAGAATAAATCATGTCAATAATTATATAATTTAAATCGCTGTGTTACCAACAACTCAACAAAATATGATATAATGACTCAACACAATTAAATTCACACTGGCAATCAATTTAACGAAGGTACATATTAGCATGTTAAAGCAATACAACAAATCACGTAGAATGCATGACTCACACAAAAAGGCACAATCGTTCCAACACCAAGATAACAACGAATAACCAAACACAATCAAAATGTGGATGAATGATTGAAGAAAAAACAATAACCATTCAAATCAACAAGTT